AAGCCTGGCCTGGAGGAGCCTGCACTGCCAGGCTTTGAGATGGTGAATATCCATGGCAATTTAGGCCACATTTTCTTAGTCACTTCACCCTGAGGGCTCTGAGGAGTTCAGGAATGACTACTGCATCGCCCACCACACGGGCACCCTTTCTGGAATGGATTAACTCCTAACTAGGGTGCTCTTGCCGAGGCAGCATTAGCAGGGGCTGCCTTTGCTCTAGGGCCCTTTCCGTGTCGACAGACTGGTGGGATAGCAGAAAATCAGCCCGTGGCTGGGCAGATCCCCCCAGGGTGTCCCAGGACCAGCGAACTCTCCATCCTGATATGGAGCCACCCAAAAGGGTTGTATAGTTTGTGGGGCCCTGAGGACTAGAGCCCCTCTTGGGCTGAGCTGTATGATTATCTTTATTACTGCACTGTTATGTTTGCCCAGTTTAGAGATTTAATATCAGTTTAAAGCTTTCTCTGCTAGCAATGCTGTTTGAAGTCAAGCTTTCTTTTCGGCCTCTGACAAATAACCCAACTTGCCAAGACTGTAAAATGTTTATGGCTAATGGTGGAAAATCTTAAAGAAGCCAAGATAACTTTCCCAGGCTGGGTATTAAGACTGTTTGGATAAGTCAATGAATGAAGAGTATTACATGGCCTTCATTAAATATCAACCAAGCCCAACAGCCATTCATTTATAACACAACGGCAGGGCACGGGAGCAAGCGGGAGCAGCAGAGCTGAGAAGTGCACGTGTTGCAAGGGATGGGAGATAGGAGCATGAGAAAGGCTGCGTCCCTCCAAGGTCAGGCAGCACCACCCTTGCCTGCAGCTCCTGCCAAACATCCTGTGATCCCCGAATCCCGTGATCCCCGAATCCCGTGATTCGGGAGCCAGGGAAGCGGCAGCATCGGCGCGATCACTCTGCTCTCAGCTGGGAGGTCTGCAGGCGTGCGGGGTGTCCTGCAACTGTGCCTAGGGACAGAGCTCTCCAGCTAGGAAAGGTCTGCCGACACCTGCATGTTTGCTCTCTTTTTTTATTTTTTTTTTAAATCTTCCTTTTTGGGTTATTTCTGCTTCCCAATGGAGAGGGTTTGCCTGGTTTCTAGCCACGGGAGTCTAACACCAGTTAGAAGAAATCAACAGAAACTCCTGCTACCATTCCTGCCATTCATGTGCCAGTCCTTCCAAAACCCCCATTTAATTGGATGGATGCTTGAATTCCTCATTTCCATTCCCCCTCCATTTCAGCATTCTCCACMTGAGACAAGATAGTTACTCAATTTGGGGCCATCCCCAGATTATATTTAGTCTTAGTCCTTCCTCACTTTGCAGAGGTTTCTCATTTCTACATTTCAAATTCCCTTTTACCACCCTGAAGCTCCTTTTGCTCTTGCTCCAATATCCTTTTCCACATCTATCTCAGTTTGCTTGCTAAAGATTTGCATTCCCTGCCCATCTTGCACCCCCAAACAGACCTTTCTTGACACATCAGCCCTCTCAAATAACCCTGCATAACCCTAAGAGACCACGAGAATGGTTACGGTCTAATTTGCAGAGAAGGAAACAGTCCCAGCTTAGTCACTGTATCACTGCAAGTCTCAGCCTYGGAAGGACGACACCTTGGAGCAGAAATAAAGCAGAGCAGTGTCTCATGCTAGCAAAAGGCTGTGTGTCACAGGGAGGGCCCATGGGCTTCCCAGCTTTGTTTGTCTTCGACTCCCTCTCCTGGCTGAGAACATGGGTTACAAGCGAGAGAAATGATCTCATGGGGACAGGTTCCAACCTGGGGACAGCTCCTGGACATGGAGCACACAGGGTCCCTTCTGCAATCTCTCGGTCCAGTGAAGGGCAGTGGGGCTGAATTTGTGCCATTTTTATCCCTGTCCCTGCTGCTCCCTGTCAGACTCTATATATTCTGGCAAGTGTAGGGGGTCCTTTTCCATTATGACTGTGTGTTTCAGGCAGCGAGGTCCGTGTGGTGGTTGGAAACCCAGCGAGCTCGGTGCCATTCGGCCATCCAGAGCTCAGCCTCCCTCTTCCAGACAGGAAGGAGCTCACATGGAAAAGACCAGAGCCTTCCTATAGTAGCAAAGGACACGTGTTTCTCTTGTCTAAAATAAATAAGTAAACAGAAATCTACATTGCGGCTGCAGCATGTCTCAGATGTGAGTCCCTTGGATTCCCTCCACTCTTCCATCCCACCATGGGAGTCAATTCCCTGGACAGAGCAGCACCGCTTCGAGGCTCCCTTGGCTTTGTAGCTTTGACCAGGTAAAACTACCTGATTGTTCTGGGTTGGGCTCACTCGTGAGCTCCCGGTGCTGGGAGGGAAAGGCTTCCAGGGCCCGTAGATGGTGCTATGGTCCCATTGCCCAATGGCTTTCCACATCCCTTTGTATTTTCAGAGACTGCTCCTGCCTCAAAGACGTGTGCTAAATTACTGATGATAGAAGCTGTCACGGTGGCTTTGGAGGAAGGACCAGCACTGGGCAAGCAAAGGGAAMTAGGAAATGCCATTTTTCTGTTTAGCATCTGATCACACCCACCCTCTGCAGAACAGATACAACCCTATCTCAAAAAAAAAGAGGTTATCAGTCAATAGTGRTTGGAAAGATAAAGCGAAGCTGAAAAGCAGGATGAGAAGCAATGAATCAGCAGAACTGCCCTGCAAGAACTAGTATTTTGGATTGTCTTGCATTATAATGCATAGACACTAATGAAAGAAAAAAAAAACATTCACCAATCCAAGGTATTTCCCCAAACTTATTAGTGTTTTGTCCAGTCTAAGCAACACCACGATGCAATGTTACTGAAACATGTTTTACTCGGCTCAAGAGTTAGTWTTTATGGAGATTCCCAAAGGAGTTCCCAATGGGGCATCATTGCTACACAAGAGATTTTCTGCTGAGGTTTTGCAGGAATTAGTCCTCATGTTGTTAAAATGCACCTCATACACAGTTATTCACATAGAGGGAGATCTGGAGTCACCCACATTGGAAATTACTATAGTATCATTTTTAGAATGAGAACAGGAAGCCAAGAAAAATGCAGAATTTTCCATTCCTTGATGTCCTCCGATGAGAACAGGCTGTGTCTCTAGAAAACAGCCTAGCGGAGCGCAAAGGATATTGCTCAATACAGTAATAACTGGGCACTAAAGCAGTGGCTTGCCTGGGCAAGACGATGCGAGCTAGACCTTGAGCTGCGTGAATCTGGCTAGAGGAACACGTGACGGGTTAGCCTGAACCCGTCAAGCAAATAAAAATAAACTATAATTGCGTTTRCACAACCTGTGGCCGACCGGGCAAAAGCAAGAAGAGCCGCGTGCATCTCCAATGCACACCCAGGGCTGGGCATTTCATGCCGCTCCTGAGACCCATCCCCATGCAAGGTCATTGCACCCCTGGGACCTGCCCTGGTGGCGGGTGAAGGTGGTGGGGACAGCGGTTGCAGGAGCCCTCGCATGTACAACCCAACCAGAATCCTCAGCTGGTCCCACGCAGGTGTGTGCATGTCCACAYGGGCGCCACCGTGACCCAGCACCAAGCAAGGGTGCGAAGCACAGCCCGACCTGGTCTGGGAGGGAGGGTGGTGGGTGGGTGAGTGGTAGATAGCAGGTTGGGTTGGTTGGGTAGGTAGGCAGATAGATTGGTGGGTTGGTGTCTGGGTAGGTACTAGGTAGGTAGATGTGTAGACAGGTGGGTAGAAGGGTTTGTGTATGGGTAGGTACGTGGGTAGATAGGTAGCTTGGTAARCACAGAATCATAGAATCATTACCGTTGGAAGAAAACCTTCAAGATCATCAAATCCAAGCATAAGCCCACCACTACACCTGCTAAGCCATGTCCCTATGTGCCTTATCCACGTTTCTTGAACGCTGACATGGATGGTGACTCCACCACTTCCCCAGGCAGACTGCTCAAACACTTCACCACTCCTTTGGTATGGAATTGTTCCCTAATATCCAACCTGAACCTCCCCTGGTGCAACTTGAGGCTATGACCTCCCCTGGTGCAACTTAGGGCCATTTCCTCTTGTCCTATCCATGGTTATTTTGCAGAAGAGACCAACTCCCACCTCACTACAACCTCCTTTCAGGTAGTTATAGACAGCAACAAGGTCTCCCCTGAGCCTCCTTTTCTCCATACCAAATAACCCCAGCTCCCCAGCACACGGGTACGTAGGTAAGTGGGTGAATAGATGGGTGGATAGGTAGTAGATGGGGGGGGAGACGGGGTAGGCAGTGGATAGGGAGGTAAATAGGGGGTAGCAGGGTAGATGGGCGTAGGTAGTAGGTAGGGGGGTAGATAGGGAGTAGATAGGGGGGCAGGTTGTGGGTAGGAGAGTAGATAGGGGGTATACAGAGGGGTAGGTACTGGGCAGGGGGGTAGATCGGGAGTAGGGACGGGGGTCAGGCAGTAG